CATTACAAAGGTAACATCCTGTCTGCTTTTCCAAACCCGCTCAGCTATGGCACAAGGACAAAGAAAGTAAAAAATTGTTGTGATGAGATCAGCTGGCCCTAAGACATTGCACTCTAATGAAAGGGTTGTCAGAGATTGCTCTATTCATTGCCTGTATAGAGACTCCCCTGCCTGGCCTGGGTGTTAGGAAGAAACAGATCCGGTTAAAAGCTATCTTCAATTCTCACAGCCACAATACACTTTGTGCAGAATATTAAAAACAGAACAAAAGTTTGTTGGACCATCACACTGCATATTTGCTTCATGACTAAGTAGAAACCAGTAACTGTTCATAATCATAGGAAGTCCCCTACCTTTCATTATATCTTCATTATATCTATTTTTAAACTATAAATAGATCAAGTGTGAGTTTTTCTTTCTAAGACAGGAAATGACTATCAAGTCTTCATCACTGTAGTAATTTACTCCCTGCATTATGTGTTTCAAAATAAATCTACATAATTTATTCTAAACAATAAAGTAGATATATGCACACCAACTCCAAAATAAAGCACTTAAACCTATGCGCAGCAGATACATTAAAAAAAAAAAATCACTATCCAGCACTTCCTGAAAGGCTTTCAACAATCTTGTCATCAACTGAATAACTCCAATCTAGTTTGCTACCTTTTCCTAGTCTTCCTAGTTTTCCCTTTACATTTTCTACGCTTTCTTTGGTTGTTCCTATCTGCTTAACCTACATTTCAGCTTGGCCCTGCTGACATTTAAGGTAGTGAAGACAAAAAATAAAAAACAAAAATAACTTCCATCAACCATAATTGGGCAGACTAAATACTTAATCATCTGCACATTCTTCTTATTTTCATTGCAATCTTTCACAGGAGGAGAGAAACAAATGAAGTAACTGAAGCAATATGCACTCAGAAATCCAACCACTAACAGACACTAGCAAATTTAATGAGGGTAGAAATGGGGTCAGACTATCATATTTCTTAAGACTGCTATACTATTTGTCAGAAAGGAAAAAAAGCAAAAAATCATTTATGAGGTTGTGTCATTGTTCTGCAAGCTTTCTTAAATTTGCTCGTTACAGGTTAGTGAACAACTGATTACATGGTCCTCCCACCACCCCTAGGCAGCAATGAACCAAATTAATAGAGAGGAGGCAATTGAGTAAAGAAGACATTCCCAGGAAATGTGAACTGAAGTGACAAATATTGTATTTAACACAATATGGTACAAGTATTTCTAACAAATAGCTGAGAAGGTAAGTATGACAAGTCATAGTATGATCATTAAAATATCCTTAAGTGAAAAGAGTTATTTTTAAAATCAGATTGGATGAACAACACCTCAAAAATGACAAGGTACAGGTGATTATTCATCATCCTCTGTTATAGACAGTGTTGGAAAAAAGTTCAGTGAACTAGCTTGCTAGGCAACAACATTGTAAAAATCTTGGTAAAACATGTTGCATGAAAGGAACAAGGTTTTTTTTTTTTGAACAAAAACCACATTTCACATTTATGTAAAGCAGCTGTTAGGCAGCATTCAACATTATCAACCTGCAGCAGTGCAGCAGGATGCTGCATGCATAATGTCAGGCATAACAAGGCAGACAGGGTCATAACACACTGACTGCTATATAAACATAATTAAAATAGCAACATGTGAAGATAGGTTAATAAGGGTTTCCACTGCATCTCCCCATGAAAGAGGGCGTATATATCTTAATTTATATAACAGGATACCTAAGCAAATCCTCTATAGAATTATTAGAGAAGCTGCTGATGCACAGTAGATTTTAAAGAGCAATGCAAAGTTGTAAATATGCATGGAGTAGTGACCTCACCCATATTGTTTTTTTGTAGGGCTCAGATCTTTAGCTTAACAGAAAAAGGAAGAAAGTAACAAAAGGCAGAAGGAATGTCTTTTCTCGAGACACAGAATTGGAATACAGGAAATCCTGATTATATTTTTGGCTCTGCCACAGCAACCACTCATGGCAAACTTTTCCAACTTTGGGGATAAAAACAAGGAAGGTAAAATTCTGCAGCCAAAGGACTTGGCTGAAAGCACTTATATTTGAAAGGTTTACCTACTTTCTCTGCCTCACCTTCTTCATCTGAAACAGTGATAAATATTTTCACCTAAGCCCACTGGTGATTTTGACGATGGTGATTTGGTGCTTTGAGATCCTATGGAAACTTCCACCAGGAAACAACGCAATAACAGTATGGCGGGTGGCAGGGGAGAGAGGCGGAGATCAATCTAATGGTTTTATCTTCCAGGTACTAATACTCAAAGTCTCAATAACTAATATTCAAGCCTTCAACAGAAGAAAGAAAAAAAAAACACTGCCCTTTGATTGCACATAAATTGAAATTATAATCTCTATTTTTTAAAATATAAGGATGTTCAAACTGTGTATCTAGTAGTCTTGCATCACTGCATTTCTGAAGACCAAGAAGATATCTGCTCTTTACCCCTTCATTTTCCAGGAGTACCTCACAATTTTAACTGTAAGTTGAATCTTTAATCTGAAAAAGAAAACCAGTGTTCTATTTTATTCTGTTTTATTTAGCTGAATGACTTCAAATTCAGTGCTCCAGACTCTAATCTTAATTTATTATCCAATATGGAAAGTGCAAGAAATCATGACTACCAGGAGAAATCTGGCTATGTCATATGCTTTAGCTTAAAGTAAACACAAAAGCTGATAACTTTTGTTATGCAGGAGGAAAAGCGGGGGGGGACCAGAAGAAAACTTCTATCTTCTTTTATGTGAGTCCTCCCACCTAGAAATATTCTCCTCCTGGAAACAGAGAGAAAGAAAAAAAAACACACACACACACACCTCAAATAGAAAGATGTAAGAAAAAGGTCATTTTTCAAAAGCCACACTAAAATAGCTCTACTAAAGAATTGGACTATATATATCTCTAAGGAAAATACGCTGACTTAATATGCTATAGTGAACTTGCCATTACTGATAGCAACCTATGCTTGAAATGGATTATCTTTATGATCATATGAAGTGTTTTACATAAGTTTTGGAGATTAACTAATTGAATTCTTTAAAAGAGAGAATTTAAATCAATTTCCTTTTTTTTCCTCTCCTGTTTGTTGCTCTTTTTAGGTTCCTAATTCAGTGAAATGGGAAAAAAAAATTCTGTAACAATAATTTTGTTTTTCCTCAGGATACCTTATGTGTTTCAATACTGTCCAGATGTCATTAGACATGGTGGTTATGGCAGCACATTTGAAAACCACCAGCACAATGATTCAATACTCTGGGGACTATTATTATACAAGCTGTGATTTCCCACAAAATCAGAGAGAAGAGAAAACAACGTAAACAACAAATCAGCCTGCACAGGGGCTCATCTTAAGGCCTCAGTTCCAAATTCCTTATACAGTCAGAGTAACTTTTCACTTTGAAGGGACTAATGGCACTCCATAAAATTGCCTATCTGTGCAAAGCAATTTGCTATGACACAGAATTTGCTATATAGGGCTGCTATACAAATCACTTCCTGCAGTAAGATTCAATGTTGCAGCAAGGTTTCAGATGACATAACAGAGCCTGTCTGCCTAAGCACAGCAGGCTAGACCTTGCAGACAGTTCTCTCCCAGAAATCCCTTGCCTGCAACTCCTGTGCTTTGCAGTTCTCTGTTATTGTACCTTTGAGTTTCACATGCATTACTCCCACACTGCATTTTTTCTTATCGGCATATGGAGTCTACAGCCAATATCCTCATGCATTTACAACCAAAACTTTCCATCAGCAACCCAGAACAGCCCTAGCCATCTACAGGACCTATTGCCTTTGGCAGTTAACATCACTGTTTGCAACCAGCTTTCTACTACAGTAACAGACTTCATTAACCTTTTTGCAAGCTGAGTTCTTGGCACAGCAGTTAGCTTTGATAAGTTCTTTGACTTTTGATCCAAGACTCAGCTGCTGGAAGCCATTAGTTTTCACTGAGCAATTAACCTGGGATTCTGGCAATTTGTCTGATCTTTGGGGTAGCCTGAGCACTTCTACAGCAAAGTCAATAGTCTGTCTTTATTGTTGCATACATCTGAGGACGTATTCCATGGCTCTGTGTATTAAGATAGCAAATTTCAGCATGAATCCTATCCAGAATTTCTGGGAGTCACTGACTACGACGGCAATTTTTGGCTAGAATGGAGGGAACAGTACCAATTACCAAAGGCCTTGTACAATATCTTTCCCAGAGAAAAATACCTGCTTGAAGAGTTAGACAGGAAGGTAGAGAAAATGCCAAATTTCTACTGAAAAAAAAACCTTCACAGTTTGAAATAGAGCATCAGGAAGCTGCTGTTACAGTAAAGATTCATAATCTGGCCTGAAGAAAAAAAGGAGTATGCGAATAATATTTAATGAAATTTAAATGCCTTTTGTTTCTGATTTCATTCCTCCAAACAATCATGCCATGTGTCACTCTAGCTCAACAAGAATGTGGAAGCTAATTTTTTTCATTTGTCTTCCTTCATGGAACCTACGTTATGTTAGTGGTCAATCTATACCCTCGATAAAAAGGTACCATCAGCCAGATTCTAAATATTTATTAATTAGTAGGCTCTCCAGCATCAACAACTGGAGAAATCATGCTATTTATCATTGCTACACCTGGAAAATGTCCATCAGGCTAAAGAAATTTTTAATTATAGTTCTCAGTAGTATTCATGGAGTTACAGGAATTTCAGGTATTTTCATCTCGGTGAATCACTGATCCAGTAAATACAATCACATCTCTACTGCAAACATGTTTGTCTATTTAAAACGGTGTTTGCACACTCACTGTCATGACTGACCAGCCCGTATGTATACAAACTTACAAATGCCTTGACAAATGAATCCCAGACTTCCACATTCTTAATAGGTTGTATGAACACTATCTAAAAACAAGTTTATAATGAGTTTTTAAATCTGATCTTCAAGGGAGTCTGTGTGACCAAGTATATCACTTACCGCTGAACAGGTAACTGAAGGGAATCTAAGTAGTTCTCACCCTTAACAGCCATATTTATCCTATTCCTTAAGGGCACTTCTCCATGGGCTGGAATCTAGAGAGAAACAGTTATTTAGAAAAATTAGGGAAATTCAGGACACTTCAATCTAGGGTGGCATGACATTCTCCCATTAAGATGTGAGGCTAACTCACTAAAGGCAATCAAAAGGTGGTCTTCTACCTCAGGCCACCACAAACCTCTAGCAAAATATCAGGGCCAGCAAGTACATTTCATGGTATTAGCAACATACGATTCTGCACATTCCTGAAAGTCTTGGATTACTGAACATATTGCAGGGCTAATATAGGGTTGTTGTTTAGCCTTATTTCTAGACCATTTTGAAGTAACTTGCAATCCAGAGGAAACAGCTTTAGTAAGACCAGAATTCTTGACATTATTGTCACAAAGACTGATTGCAAGATAGAAAGTGTATGTTTGTATGATTTTAGGATCATATAGAACATTTAAAGAAAGGCCTAATGTCTAAGTTACTGAAGTACTGGCTCCTTCTGTATTACATTTTTTCTTTTTTCTGTCAGTTTGAAACTGATGGGGGGGAAGGGAAGGCTATATCCCTCCCTCCTCCATTAATTTGCTTCATCTTGCATCATTAGGGCATTGCCCATCACGAATCAATACATGCTCTCAACAAAAGCCAGAAAGAAAATTTATTTTTACCACCAAAAGTGAAAGCATTCCCAGATATCCACATAGCTAGAGGAAGAACTAATGAGCAATACTTGAAGGAGAATGATCCACAACTCAAGAACAAGAAGGAGACGGTTTAATTTGCAGGAAGAGGAGACAAGAACAGCAGGAACTTAAGCTTTCTTAAATGTGAAGAAAAAAATGGGATCAATAGATTTCAGTCTTGGAAATAATACTTTACACAGGAAATGTAAGTGACTTGTGTCACCAACTGAGGGAGTAAGTTTTTGATGTAGCCACTTGTGAAATTCTGCCATTTGATTATTGGCTACATTCTGCAAGCTGAGTCAGGCAGCATTTAAGGAAACTGCCTCTCCAAATTGTTCCTAATTGACACTGAGAGTGGCCCTCACCATCTTCCCTAGCAAACTGATCTCATTGCTAATGCATTTCCTTGGGTTTCTTTTTGGCCAAGATCTTTATAGCAGAACCCACAAACATTGTCCTGAATACATAAAAGTATTACAACCTAAGTAATGCATTCACATGGTCTGCCCACTGCTAGCAGCAGATTGCTTGGGATTTTTTTTTTTCATGAATTTTCCTGGAAATAATGAATTTAACAGATGAATGCATATACTGATAATGGGAAAAGAAACTGATTTTTTACGCTGAATTATGATTTAGAAAAGATTGTAACAGTGTCCAGTATTTGACAGGCTATGCCCAAATAGCTTGTATGTCCAAATATGAAAATATGAACACATACACTTCAGTGCCCAAAACACTGCCTGATTTGAAAGAGAAGTTTATGGGGTCTTATTTTTTGGTGGTGGTGGCTGTTGTGCGCTTTAGCAGTTTACATATATTGCACATACAGCACTAATAACAACAACAAAAAAAATCCTCATTTCTTTTTGCTAGCACATTTTTTGACTCTTTGTGAAAGAAATTTAAAATTACCAAATACAAATAACCATATAATCAAATTTACTGGGAATACCTCATTACCACTATTTTCTAGTGGTAAAGAGACCCTTAATCAAAGATGGACACATCTGCACAAAATCAGGATGAAATTGTGAATCTTCAGGATGAAATTGTGAATCTTCAGGATGAAATTTCATCTTCTAAATCCTAACATGTGAAGAACTGAAAATATATTCTTTCACCAGTCACTAAAAGTACAGACATCAGGAGCACTAGCCAACTCTTGTTCAGCATCAAGCACAAGATTTATCTTTCTAAGCTCCCAACACAAAAATCATATACTTCCCTCTCGCAAGCTAAAGCTGTTTTGCTGTTAGCTCAGCCCACTAAAATCTCTACATACACAAACCAGAGCATCTGATGTACTCTATAAGTTGTGTGCAGCGACATAACGTACCCAGACCTAAATTAGATTACTGTATCTCATTGTTCTCTAGAAATCAGGAATATGACAAAAAACACATCTTTTTGTATCCTCTCTTCCCACAAAATACACAGTTACATTATGGCTAAGAGCCTCTAAAACCACGATCAGCTCCTACACAGTAAGGTATTTTGTTATTGTTCCTGGAGCATAAGTGTCTTCTAATACCTTAACCAAACAGTCTGCCTCAAGATTGCAATTAGCTCAAGTCTTTAAGCTCATGTTAATGCTGCAAGTGAAGAAACTGTCTCTCTTCGGCAGGTGTGCTGTCCCCAGGCAAATGGCAACCTGCCAGTAGACTGACTGTGCCTCCAACATCACAGCATCTCACACTCCAGTCTGCCCGCAGTTTTACCCGCAACTAGAAGACTAATTAAAGACTCAGTGAATAACACAGCAAAAATACTGATATCTGCCCAGGGTCTCATTTATGGTGGGAGACATTCAGCTTCAGGTCTTCTCACTCTCCCTCTGGGGAAGGTCACGACATACAAATTGTATTTCCCGGCAAAGTCTATTACACAACTGATGGAATCCCTCTGTTCAGTTGTTGCTGCTTTTTTGTCAAAAGCCACAATAATGCTGAGATCTAATTAGCATTCCTGAAATAACACCTCAGACTACAGTGGCCCATGCAAATGATCCCTAGCATCATCTCAAGTCAGAGGAAAATAGAATCTACATTCTTGGGCTTTTCTAAAGACATTTTTTTAATACCTTAAACAGGCTTTTACACATATAAATGTGTGGATACAGATTCACATCATAATCCTAAGTAAAGACTTACAGTTGGCTTATTTCTTTTGGTAGGTAATGGTGTGTACGCACAGAATTAGATGCATTCAAGCCAGCAGTCTCTCCTTATGTCCTGTATCATCCTCGTTGTCAACACCGAACTAGATTTTAAGATAAAATTTCCTCATGTTTACTAGATAGATGCAGATAAGTGGATCCGCAAACCACATTTCATTTCCAGTGAAGACCGTCTGCCAAAATATTATTTTAGAAAGAACTACTACACAAGAAAACAACACACCTGCAGTAGCCTGCAAGAATTGCTCACAGAAACAACATCAACAGAGAACATGATCACTGTGGCAGGGCTGGGGGAGACAAACAAACATATATACATACACGAGAAAAGCCTAACTTCCTCACAGAGCAGCATCAGGACTCAACATTGACAATTGGTGTAGAGAAATAAAAGCAGCTTGAAAATCTGACTAGGTAGCCCTCCCATAAATTAGAGTTTTCATCCTAATTTACACTAAGCACCATAGCACAGAAGTTCACCTGTGAAATCTGTGTGATGGCTCATTAGCACAGTGGAGTAGCAGGAAACCCTCAAACTGCTCGTTTCACCTGCGTTATAGAAACTCCTGGCTGGGAACCTCTGCTTAAGTCTACTTTAGCATTTGATAGCAAGTTCTGAAATGCCACGTTGCTTTTAGCATCCTGGAAAAGTGTGTGTGTGTTTTTTTTTTTTCTCTCTGTTAGGACAAAAGACTGCACCTTGACAAACCTCCCAATTTAAATTTCTTCTCCATCACTCTACATATTAACTCATATTTAACCAACAAGAAATTATGATATTTCTGTATCTATGATATTTAGCAGACAATTCTAAAGGCAACCATGTCCTAAAACCTCACAGCTACAGCACATATTCTTCAAAGTGAAATAGATGCAACTCATTTACTCCTATTCTTGATGGCCCTACAGAAGTTCTCCATCGAAAAAAAATTGTCCTGAACAATAATGTTTTAGAATTCTCACAATTAAATCCATTTTTTTTGAACTCACTCATTGCTAGCTCTCCCACTGTTGTAAAGGGTTAAGTCAAAAGGCTAATCAATGAATTTTTGCCATCTCGTTTCTAACACTTAACATCATAATTTCAGTGCTAAAAAGATTATCTTAAAATAAGGTCAATCAAGAGCATCACATCTCTTTGTGAAGGAGGGACAACTGCATATTTAAGAACTTTGATTACTAATGATCATCAGAATGAGAAGACCATGCTATCTGTAAGTACTTTGGCTAACCTGAGAATAACAAGTCATTAACTAGAAGTCATTTTAGACTAGATAAGATTTGATTAATGCAAGCAGTTCCTCCGCCATAATAAAGTACCGTTTCTCCTCTGCCAAATACTGCCTGTCCTATTTTACAACTCTGGAAGTCTGGGAATCGTTATTCTCCCGGTACATAGAATAACTGTTAATGGAATGCTACAAATCAAATTAAAAGGAAAATGCTGACAGCCTTTATGCGATAGGTCAGAAAGTAAATACATACACTCCTTCCTTCAGCAACATGCCTGGTCCATTAGAAATTTTTCACACTAACCGTTTAAGGAATCCCATGCTGCTTTTGCTTTATGCCAGTTTTATACAGGAAAGCATGAATTATAATAGTAAAAGTTTCACAAATCTAAATAATAATAACAAAAATTAAAACAGAAACAAGAAACAGTCCTTCAAACAATGCATTAAAATTGATCGTATTAATATGAGTCCATATTCACCAATGTATGTATCCATACTCCTAGAATGCAAAATTAAGAGAGACAGAGATACGAAAAGGGGCTGAGGCATTCACTCATAGAAACTGCTTTTGCAGATTAAACTGAAATAACTACTGAACAGTTTATGCTTTACCTGTCAAGCATCATCAGAAAAACAAATCCATTTTCAGTCATACAAGATTTTATTTTTAAGGCATACTTCTTACCATCTGAGCTCTCTTTATGTTCTACAGAGAGAGGATCCCATTTTAAGTGATTCTGTGTTTATCTTCGACAAGGCCCATCATATATGTGCGAATTATTTGAAATTGTGCTACTGTCTACTGTCTATGCTACTTCTGGAACCTGAAGAAAGGATCATTAATTTGCAGATCTTAAGTTAGCATGAGAAATGAAAAGCACAATATTGCCAACTGCAGATATCGAGCAAGGAAATAAAAAA